GTTTCACTTAAAGTTGCATTTTTCAGGAACATAACTACAACGTTAAGTGAGGAGTTACTGTGCTGTTATTATTAAACGTGACTGGCAGGAGTAGTGCTATAGCTGTCAACAGGAGATCAAGAATGCCTGATGATGTTTGCCCCAAGACTCTCTCAGCCTAGTCTCAGTGGCAATCTCCGAATAACTTCCTCTATTACACATACCACCCATCTGGGTCGCCAGAGGGATCTTACAAACTTCCCTCTTTACAGATTTCAAAGTTACTGTGACCTTTCCACTGGGACACAGCCCCACAAGCCATCGCTTTCATGTGCCATGTGCCAAGAGACCCCTCTAGTACTTGTTCCCAATGGGAGATGCTACTAACAACACATTTTACTGCTGTGTGTAATGGTGGGTAATGGAGAGATTTCATCCCTTGTCTTCAACCTCCAGCTACGAGGACCTTGGTGCCCTGGATGGGGGAAATGATGGGATGAGAGTGATCAAAAAAATTCTGGCTCTGGCTCCTTGTATCCTGAAGGATCATGGGTAAGCGCTGATGCTGTACTAAAATCCTAATGCCTATCTACATTTGACTTTTCATATCTTCTGCCTATTCCCACCTCATATTTTTTATGATCAGAAATATAAGCAAATACGAGGGGGAGTCAAATGCACATAAGAAAAGAGGGGAAAAAAGCCATTCCCTCTTAACATAAGAATGTCACATGCATTAGTAAAGAATTACTGATATTAATACAATCAGCCAGGGGATTACGCATCACGCTGGTGATGCTTGGTATTGTTGCCTGGTCATTATTTAAGTGGGTACCTAAAACTTAAAGAAAAGAGGAAAAGCAGAGAGAAGAGAATAGCAGGGGAAGAGATGAAAAGGGAGAGCAGAAAAGAAGAAAACAGTTAAGTGGAGAGAGATCTGGAGAGAGAAGCACTGCAGATACCCCTGGGTCGGTGATATTTATGGACTGTGGTAAGATATCTTATAAAACATCCCAGGAGGGGGGGAAAAAAAACATCCCAGGGGTTGTTTCTTGAGGGATTAATCTTCTCCATGATAAATGACCAGGAGATTCCCTGCTTCCATTCACTACCTTGTAATGTCCCTCATGGGATACTAGAGATCAGCACTGTAGCCCTCAACTTAGTCAGGACATTCTAAGGGCACTCTTCACTACCCGCCCAGATCGGCGGGTAGAAATCGATCCCCGAATCGTCGCGCATACTCTACCTCGTCAGGAGAAGTAAGCGGCGTCGATGGGGGAGCCGCGGCGGTTGATTTGCCGCCGTCCTCACAGCGGGGTAAGTCGAATAGGATACTTCGACTTCAGCTACGCTATTCGCGTAGCTGAAGTTTGCATATCTTACATCGACCCCTCCCCTCTAGTGTAGACCAGCCCTAAGTGTCTAGTGTGACAGTCCTGACTTTTTACCAGCTCAAGAGAAGTAATTGAAAATCTCCTGTTGTGCAACGTTGGAACAGGAATATTCAGTGTCATTGTGCTACAGGGGTGCAGACATGGAGTCGTATTCGTTCTTAGAGCTTTGATTGACCACTGAAGCACAAAATCCTCTTCAGAGTTTTCCAGGATTAAGCTCTGTAGAGTGCTTATTTTGTATTTTAAGATGGAGCCCATGTTGATGGGAGAGAGTTTTTAAGGTCAGGAATGAGATCCAAATCCAGGCATGTAATTAATTTGGCTGAGGTAAAGAAAGTGTTCAGTGTGGGAAGGTTTGGGGATTTTCAGAGGAGCATATAGTTAGGGTTTGGCTCTTTTTTGCAGTTTGGTGTAGCCTACGAAACTGTCAGCGGCTGCAATCAGTTCCAGAAAACTAGGAGTGAATTCAGATAGTTCAGTGATAGCCGTAAACACACTACCTGTGTACATGGAGAGCTTTATATTCCAAGGTCCCTTTGATACTGGAGTGAATTTACAGCTGCTGAAAGCTGCTGGGTTGACAGTTCTGGAAACTGACATGCCCTAAGTATTCACCGAGCTGGAACAGTATGAGCAGCAGCAGCAGCACAAACCTCCAACCACATTCCCTGCTGATGTGAGTCATGCGCAACCTGCAGTACCTACATCAATGGATGCAAGATAGAGTATAGAGTCCAGGCCCAGCTAGTCTTTGGCCTCTCTGTTGAGACATCCGGCAAGGGGGCCATCTGGCAAGGTGGTGGCTTTTTTGGGTTGGGTCCCTGTCCAGTAGGAACTGAACTGAGACCAGCACCACTTGTCAGGTGACCAGATTCAGACAAGCAGCCTGGAGATAAAGGCTCCTGTCACACTGGTGGTGTACCTTAGGAGCTAACGGCATTGCCTTCAGTGCGGCTACCCTGATGTGAAGGTGCTGTGAGAGGGGACTCAGACCCCTGTGTACCTCAGGTCTGGCCAGCCCTCTCCCCTCATCCTAGTGCCTCAGGCTCACAGTCGTTCATACTGCAATGGCCTCCGTCATCACCCACTCCCTGTTAGCCTCATCTCTGTCTATATTAGGTACTTAGATGACCCCCATTACCATAGTATCTGAGTGCTAGTGAGGCAGGGCAGGGCTCCCATCCCCTTTTTAAAGAAGGGACTGAGTCCCAGAGAGATTTGCCCAATGTCACACAGAGTCTGTGGCAAAGAAGGGAATTTTCCGCAGTCTCCCAAGTCCCAGGCTAGCGCCTAACCCCTAGACTATCCTTCCTCCTATCTAGATCCTTTCCCTGTCCCCCTCTCTCTTTTGTACGATCCCCTGCTATATGTTCAACCTGTGGAACTCTTTGCCAGAGGATGTTGTGAAGGCCAAGACTATAACAGGGTTAGAAAAGGAACAAGATAAACTCCTGGAAGATAGGTCCATCAGTGGCTATTAGCCAGGGTGGACAGGTATGGTGTCCCTAGCCTTGGTTTGCCAGAAGCTGGGAATGGGCGACAGGGGATGGATCACTTGATAATTACCTCTTCTGTTCATTCCCTCTGAAGCACCTGGCATTGGCCACTGTCATAAGACAGGATACTGGGCTAGATGGATATTTGGTCTGACCCAGTATGGCTGTTCTTATGATTGGTCGTTTTATGAGGGTGATTCTGTCAGGCTGAGTTATGAAGACATTTCCTGTGCAAGGCTCCAAGCAGTTTGGTGGGGATGCTTTGCAGATACAATTATTTTTTATAATTATCCCCCATGGGGAGTTGGTGCCACCCAACTGATGCAAGAGGAGAATTGTTACTGCCATCATTCAGTTACTGTTTGTAGCCTAGAGCTTGCCCTTCGCCATCAGCCTGCCTTTACCTTAAATCTTTGGAGTCCATAGCTAGTGCTGTCTCTATTATAGGTTTACTGATTCACAGGCCATAATCCCAAGCCTGCATCTCAGTGGCCGTGCTTTAATTACGCAGGTTGAGTAGAACCTTACTCTATGAGGAGTCCTATTGAACTCAGCCTTTACTCACTGTAAGTAAAAGTTTCTTTAGTATCTTACATTTGTTAGCTCCATGACCACTTTGCTTGGACAGTCCAGTGCGGTTGGTTGTTAGGTCACTGCGTTCCAGAATTTCACAGGCCAAACAAGCTGGTCAACTGGATCCTTCCACGGAATTATCTGGACCATCCTAGGAAAGAGAGTCTGATATTTCCAAGCTGGTCAAACAAAATGTGTTTGTTTCCTCTCCACATTCCCACACATGTGTTTTCAGGAGTGTGTTTCTAGAAGTTGATCCCAGACACCCAGAGATGGTGGAAAACTGGCTGCAGAATCACCCTGACCTGTCCCTCTCCGTCTCTGCCACCCACAAGGACTTCTTTGGAAAGTAAGTGTTTTCTCTTCCTCCGACTGTTCCCTTCAACTGTATGCAATTGCATCCAGCCCTGGGTACAGTCTCCCTCTGCACCCTCGTGTCTTGAGGTTAAACTCAGAGGGACTCAGTCACTAAGTTAGTGCACCCCCTTCCTAAACACCTGCATCCTTTGAACTCCTCAAACTTCTAATTTATCTTGAAGTGGGGGCAGTGCCAAGCATTCCTGACTCATCTTAGTATTGACATTATCTGATGGGATTATCCTTCATGGAAAATTGTGGCTTTACATGATGGGTGTGGATTCATATTCTCCCTGGCAAAATGTAATGCCGTGTTCATTCTTGTCCCCAACAGGCCAAGGTTCCTACACATCCAAAAGCATAAAGCAGGTGACCGCATCAACAAGAACAGCTTTGCTTGTCCGAGCGATCATCTCCCTGGAGTTTCTTGCTGAGTCGTCTGTTGGATCCCTGCACAGCAACAGGAACCTGGCCCTCCACTGCATTTCCCAGCATTCTGATCTCTTCAGATGGTCACTGGTGCATCCATTGCTGACAGAGAATTTCACTTGGAGGATCACTAGAAAGGAGGTGGGGCAGGGGTCCGAGTCTGCAGAGGTGTTTCAGCACCCACAGACGGTCGGACACAGATTATTAGCTCAGTCAGCTAAAGCAAGAAATAGGTATGAGAACCTAGCATAGAGGGAATCTCAATTCCAAGCATCTCATTTTTTTGAAGCTGCAAATACATATGATAAAAATACAACTTCTCCATGCATCAAATGGCACTTTTAGTTCATAATGAACAGCATAGGTCTTGCCCTGGAAAAAGAACTTAAGATTGTTGGTAGGTCTGTTTCTTTTTAATTATTATTTTTTAAACCTCCACTTTCAAAGCCTATGAATTCTTTTAGCGGGTATGCTCGGAGATTCCAGAACTAATGCTTCAGATTCAATTCTGTCCCCGCAGCCCCCAGTGTTCCTGAGTGATCCTACCATGACAAAGCACCGAGTGCAGCCTGTCGCTTCTGAGCAGCTCTCCAACAACAAGCCAGCATGCACAGTCTTGCTCTCCTGAGCAACCTTTCAGTAACAAACCAGCACATTTGCAGCCATTATTCCCAAACGGGCAGTATTCTACAGCTCAGACAATGGGATCCATAATGGAATGCTTTGTGAGGAAGATGTGGGATGGGTTTAAACCAGAATTTAGTGGTAATCGACTCCTTTCTTTGGCAAATCTAGTTTTAGACAGAAAGGGGAAAGCCTTGTATCTGAAGACTTGAGGACTGTGTTTAGAAAGTGTAGCTCTTTCTGGCATCCTTGGCTTATTTCCAGAGTCCTGTTACTTTAGGTCCTGTTATTTTAGCTCCAGAGCAGTGGTCTCCAATCTTTTTACGCCAAAGATCACTTTTTGAATCTACGGGCAACCCAGGATCTACCCCGCCCCTTCCCCGAGGCCTTGCCCCTTCCCCAAAGCCCCACCCCACTCACTCAGCCACCCTCATTCACTTTCACCAGGCCGGGACAGGGGTTTGGGGTTTGGAAGGGGGTGCAGGCTCTGGGCTGGGGGGTTGCAGGGTTGCAGTGTGGGTGGGGCTCTGGGCTGAGCGTCGGGCAGGGGGTTGAGGTGCAGGAGGGGGTGAGGAGTGCAAGCTTTAGGAGGGAGTTTGGGTGCAGAAGGAGGCTCCGGGCTGGGGCAGAGTGTTGGGGTGCAGGAGGGGGCGTGGGGTGCTGGCTCCGGAAGGGGGCTCAGGGCTGGGGTTTGGGGTGCAGGAGGGAGTATGCGGTGCTGGCTCTGGGAGGGGGCTCAGGGATGGGGGTTGGGGTGCGGCCTCCTGCCTGGCAGCACTTACCTCCAGTGGCTCCTGGTCGGCGGCGGGTGCAGCGAGGCTAAGGCAGGCTCCCTGCCTCTCCCGGCCCCACACCGCTCCCAGAAGGTGCCAACGCGCCCCTGCAGCCCCTGGGGTGGAGGATGCGGGGGGCACATGGCTCCGCATGCTGCCCCTCTCTGCAAGCACCGCCCCCGCAGCTCTCCCGGCCAATGGGAGCTGCGGGGGCAATGCTTGCAGGCAGAAGCAGCACACAGAGGGAGACCCCTGCACACGCGCCCCCGGGACCATGGGACTGCAGTGGCCGGTTCTGGGAGTGGTGTGGGGCCGGGGTAGGCAGGGAGTCTGCCTTAGCGGCAGCCACACTGCACTGCCGCTGGAGATCGCGATCGACTGGGAGATCCTCTAGGATCGACGGGTTGGTGACAACTGCTCTAGAGGAGTGGGAGAAATGCTTCTGATATTCCGTTTGAGCTTTCTGTTTATACAACACCTAGCACATTGTGAATGTTACAGGTAACAAATATAAAAACATAATAAAACAGTGCTGCATGTTCTGTAGATGGAAATGAGCCTCAGTTCAAACCAGCTCACACAAGAATTGCTGTGTAAAGAGTAAAATAATTATTTTGCATATTGCAGTGGGTCCAAATCAAAACCCTCCTCCACGCTCCCCATCAGATAATAATACCTAGCTCCAATGTAGCATGTTTTACCCATAGATCTCAAAGCACTTTACCAAGGAGGTCACAAGCATTATCCCCATTTTACAGGTGGGGAAACTGAGTCACAGGGAGAAGTGATTTTCCCAAGGTCATGCAGCAGGCCAGTGGCTTAGCCTGGGATAGCAGCCAGGACTCCTGGCTCCTCAACAGTGCAGCTGGAATAGCGAAGGTTTAGTTCCTTGTTCTGTTTTATCGGGGGAAGTGACTCAGGCAATAGAGATGCCTGAAAGAGCAGGGTGAGAATTCACTGGAGTGGAGAGCCAGAGCAGTCTGTTATAAGTAATGGGAGGATTTAAAGCCAAGTTGCTTTCTTGTTTTGCAGTTGGTAGCTCCTCTCCTGGCCAGCTTTGGCCAGCAGGAAGGAATAGCCAAGCCAAGGAGTCTGAGCTGATCTCAGAGGAAAGCTGTGAGAGGTCATCAGAATGGACCGCACACTTGTGGGATGGAAATATCCATCTGGTGACCTCTGCAGTCTCTGAGCACAGCAGGACGTGCTGCTGGGATATCCTCCAAGGCTGGGCTGTGAGTGCCTACTCAGACACTTAGTTGGGGCCTGCGTCAGTGCTGCCCACATCAAGCTTCGGCATATACATGTGGGGCTGTTTAGAAAGCACCACCAGATTCCAAGGGCTTTACTAAACAGCAGCACACTCTCACACTCCCTCTCTCTCTCTCCACTGCTTTCATAATCACTCTTTCACTCTTGCCCACTCCTTCATTCTCATTTTCCCTCTGGAGCCTTGCACACAACTTTGCAAGTCACCTCAACCCTGACTGATGTGCCAATGCCCAGACCCCAGCCTGGATCCCATCCAGAGCCCACCCCACCATCACTCACAACCCAGCCTTTACCTTGGTCCCACTGTTGCCTATTGCACAATCATGTCCCTGTCCCCTCCTCCCCCCAAAAGTGCATCCTGTGGGCCTGCCCCACCACTGGAAGTGGCCCCTCTGGTATCCAAAAGCCTTCAAAACAAAAAAGGACCCTCCTTCATGTGAACATGCTAAGAGAAATTTAACGGAAGAGCAGTAGGGAGGGTGGGACTCAGGCTCCATCTGCAGTGATGCTCACCCTGGGTTTGTGAGTTGGGGAACCATGTTTTGTCTTAGTTTTACCCACATTCCAGCTGAGATGATTCCCAGCAGTTTTGCAGGCCAGTGCGGGAGAGACCAAGCTGTTCAGAGAACTTTAAAAAACATCAACAACAACAAAACAACACATCCACCTAAACTGAAAGCTAGAACTGTCTTTTTAAACTGAGTTTAAACCGAGTTCCCCGACTCAGCAATGGGTGCAGCTACTAAATGGTACTTATCTATGGAGCATATAGACAACCTGTAACTCACTCTAGCAGGATTTTTAAAAGCATGATTTAATGACTGGGTAATGTAATGATTAGATGAGGTTTCAATGTCATCATACTGCATTCTTCAAGGCATAAGTGGTCACCTGCAGCAGTCCAGAACGAACTGCCCCTGTGCAGTTAAATGAACGGGTGGCAAGGAGCATTATAATTTTCCTCTGAATCATTGCTTATTGGCCTCAGCCAAGAGCACGATACTGTACTAGGCAGGGTCATGGTCTAATCCAGCAGGGCAACTACTGTCTTCCAACATTCGTCTCTCTTTTTTAGAAAACTGATTACATCACAGCCATTGTGCTGTACTGTGATTCCGTGGTACAGAAGATCATGTAACACTGCTGATCTTCTCTTAAGGACAGGAGTGAGGGAAAATCCTGTTCTCTCCCCCATGTGGCTGGGCAGCATTTCCCAGCTCAGGGAACGTGTTTGTCTAGTGTGTTCCATAGTGTCTGATATACCTTTGGCCAAACTCCTTTTGGTGCAGAAACTTTTCACAACGGCTGTGACAGCTGTGAAGGAGCCACTGACACTCCCAGAATTCCTGCTTTCCCAGAGGACTGGGCAGTTATCCACCCAGTGGGGGACGATGCTAACATGTAAACTATAGGATTTGAGATTAGCTCTCTGAGAAGTTTGCAATTGATTAATGAAGCTGCAAGAAGACTAACATTTCTGCTTACATTTTACACAATCAAATAACTTATTGGGGCTCATTCTCAGTTACTTGGCACATGCTTTAATTCCATGTAGTCTTATCAAGGAGATGGCTTATTTTTCTGAAACAACATTTGAAGAGGTTTGTTTTTTTCTGTGGGGTTGGAGGTTGTGTTTTTAGGGGCTGTTGATGTATCTGCTAGGACCGTTTCCTGGAAAAGGGGTTGCAAACCACATGGCCCATTAGGTGGTGCTGTGATCCCAGTCTCAGCTGCATTGGTGTTGGCTACTGCTCTTAAGCAGGAAGATACAGATGTAGAGACAGAGAACCGTTCTGGCTACAGGTATGGTTGCCAACCTTCCAGGACTGTCCTGGAGTCTCCAGGAATTAAAGATTATTTAATTAAAGGTTATGCCATGTGATGAAACGTCCAGGAATACATCCAACCAACATTGGCAACCCTCACTACAGGATTGTTATTTGTTTCAGAGTCACCCTGTTTTCTGAAAAGTCTGTTCTGAAATACAGACACTATCTTTGTTTATAGCATTCTAATCTAGATACTATGGTGATGAGGGCTATTTGAGCACCTGATAGTTATTAATCCGGAGCTCTCAGCCACTGTGGGCAGCAGCAGGGACCCCGGAGCCCTAGCAACGGTGGGTGCTGGACCCTCCTCCTTCCCTATTTTGGCACAGTTATTTTTAGTAAATGTCATGGACAGGTCACAGGCTTCTGTGAATTTTTGTTTATTGCCAGTGACCTGTCTGTGACTTTTCTAAAAATATCCAAGACAGAATCTTAGCCTTAGGGATGAGCCATTTCATGAACAGTAAGAGCCAACCCCAAACTCACGCTGCTTTTTCTTTGAGGTTTGAAAAGTTGTGTTTAATTTTGTTTAAAAGATCATTTCTGTGCCCTGCTTGTGCTCCAGGCAGCATCCAGAGGCTGGAATACTGAAATACAGTGAAGTAAGCTGCCCTTGCATGGCCAAACCAGGGAGTGTTGGAAATCTCAAGTTTGATCTGGCCAGACTTCAAGCCCAATGGCTCTTTCAGAGAGGTTCAGATGCTCTTTGGATGGGCACTGGACTTTCAGATGCTTCTCCAACCTGAGGAGGGCCAAAGGTACAATCCCGCTCCAGTCCCTTATAGTTGAAACGGCCTGCATCTCCCCAGCTTGGAGGAATCCCCAGAGGGCATAGGGATGGCATAGTCACTCTTACCACACCCACTTCTTGCAGCCCAGGTGTTGTGAACATGGCCAGAACATGCTGTGCACATGCTGTCCCCAGCTCGCAGGCTGTCCTTCTGAGGCTTGCCAGGTGGCTACGGTGACCTCCAGGGCACTCTAGCATGTGCCGTGGCTGGGATGAAGCCTGGTAGGGACCCAAAGAACAATAACCAGCTGCCACACACCCTGAATCCCTAACTATACCAAGCAGTTTTTGGCTACAGCGGAGAATCTGGGTCTTGAACCATTTTGAGGTTTGCCCTTTGTCAGAGGCTTGTCTCTTTCATCTGCACCTGCCGGTGGTGAGAGAGGGTTTACAGGTTACTGCTCTTGATGTGCTGGCTGCTGCTGGGCCCTGAGAACACACAGATTCCTAGATTCCAAAGCCAGAAGAGATCGTTGTGATCATCTAGTCTGACCTCCTGCATAGCACAGGCCAGAGAACTTCTCCAAAGTAATCCCTAGAGCAGAGCCTTTAGAAAAACATCGTCTTGTTTTAAACATTGTCAGTGATGGAGAATCCACCACGACTCTTGGTAAGTTGTTCCAATGTTTGTCACTCTCACCGTTAAAAATTTACGCTTTGT